ATCACATTTTTCATTTCTGCCAAATTGTTTAGATTATCACCATAAACAGTGCTTTGAGATAACCCATATAGCCAAAAGTCACAGAGGTTGAGGTCTGGTTGGGAAGGAGGGGAAGTGTTGGCCTATAAGACGTTCATTCGTGAAATGTTGCCTAAGTAACTGTGCGACACACGTGAGGTTAGGCCCAGCTCTGCATAAAAATCGTAGTATCTAAAATGCCTCGTTACTGCAGTTCATGTATCACGAAACATTTTAACATTGACTCTAAGTGAGCTGCAATCACAGTGGTCCAGCTGTCGACTGCTCTTCAGAGAAAATTGGTTCAATTATAAAACTAGCTGTCATTCAACACTAAACGGTGTGGAATGACTGCTATGCAATCGAATGCAGTAGGATAATGCAATGGAACTAGGTAGATAGCATGAGGGACTTCTTTCGCCCAAATCGATTAAAAGCGTTTTGAATCAGTGCTTGCATGTTTTAGGGCCGAATTCAGGGTTCAAAAATTACAATTTAGCGATCTGTCAGAAAACGATTTCCAGATTGTACGCACTTGTGCGAGTGATTTGCGATCTCACATTTTGTAATCGCTAATTCGTGGTTTTCACGGACGAATTTCTCACTTACACGAATGGCGTACTCGACGTTTATCGAATTTAACGGCTTTAAATGATATATTGCTTAATTCAAAGTTTTCTTAAGGGTATACAACATATTAAACTCGTGTAACAAAAGGTTAAGTTAGATTCCGACCCATATTTCGTTTAACAGCGCCATTTTGCGCCATTATATACATATACAGCGCCATTTTGGCCTGGTGGTGAGGTTTCGAACTTCCTCTTTTCGCTCAAAATAAATTCCCACAACCACCTTTAGACGATTACCAAATTTGATAACATTTGATCCAGTAGTTTTCCTTTTATGACAGTTTCAATGTGGAACTTTAATTATAACTACTCTGTTTATTATTAAATTTTAATTTGAAGCTATGCGTTATATGTATACCATGCGTAAATTTTTTGCTTTTATGGAAAAATAAAGAATCGAAGCAAATATACTTAGGGTAATGGACCAAAACTGAAAAAATTTCCCCTCCCTCCGAAAATCAAATATTGAAACTTCGACCTTGAATTTATTGGGCTATGGAAATATTTAATTTGACTTATTTCTAAGTCCTAGTTCTGACAACAATGCCGTCAAGAATTCTGAATTACTTAAGCTGAAGTAAAAGATTTAGTATATATTCACTGTATGTTAATAATGTAATCAGAGTGTAATAAAAATAGATTATAGAATTTGCGCTGATGCAACTTTTTGTCTGACTGCACAACATGTAATGGAAGAGAAGGATTGTAGAGATCTGTTTTTGACATGCCTCTAAAATTAGATGTCATACTCCTTTTGTCTCTTCAATGTCAAAAAACTTTCCTTTGAGAGGCAACTTTAGTTTTTGGGAAAGAAAAAAAATCACAAGAAGACAAATTTGAAGAACATGCAGGACGATTGAGTACACATACTTATTTTAGGAACACAAGCGGTTCTCCGACAGGTTATTGAATAATGAAAAGATGCATTGTCATGCAATACAAAACATTTGGAATACGTTTTCTGACTGAATAACGTAAGATTAAAAGTCATCTGCTTAATTCAGAGCCATTTACAAGTCAACTACTCGGCAATTGCAGAATCATTTTGATCCTGAGCTTGTAAGACAAACCTAATATCACTGGATTTAAACACTTCTTTAATCTTGCGAGAACATTCCTTCTTTAGCTCATATTCCAAGAATATTAAGTGAATACAATTATTGCAAAAGAAATTGAATATTCATTTGCACTACGGCTTGGTAGTTAACTAACGAATTAACAAAACTTAAATTCTGCTTTTTGTGTCTAAGAATACAACAATATTTTTTAAATATTTACAAATAAAATATTAAATTGGAGATTTACTTGGAGCCTCATCAGTTGCCTAGCATTTGAAGATTGTTAAATACTAATTGTTTGTTGCAACGTCTAACCCAGGCTTGCATGGTTGGTTTTCATAGTTTTCTATGTTCTCCTTACAAAGGTTCTCTATGAAAGCATCTTAATCAAATAGCTCCCATGTTCTTTCTATGTTCAAATAACCAACTAACTTAGTTTAAGCGCGATTTCCAAGTGAAGTTACTAGCAAAACTCGAATACTCATTAAAAATCATGTAGCTTGCCAATCGGGAGTAACATGAAAGATACGGCGCCAATAATTGAATTGCTGTTACGGTACGCTGTTTCTAAACTTAGATGGTCATTCCTTAATTAAATAGCCCACCAGCGGCTGAGCGGTAAAGACGCTGAACACTGGTAGTTCGGTCTGAGGTTCGAGTCCCGCTAACGGGCTGGCTGCATGGGCGTTTTCGTGGATTTCCCCATGTGTAACGTGTATACCAGCCAGTTTCCCTTAGAAAGTCCTCCACGAAAGCATCCCTCCCTTTAGGCAGATAGCCCTCGTGTGCTTTGCCATAATTAAATAATCCATCCAATCCAATTCAATCCTTAATTAAATATAATTGATTTGTAACTTCTACTAGAGTTGACGGTAAAAATTGAAGTGTAAATAAATAATATCGTGTGCAATCTTGATTAATATAAAATTAAAAATATTTGCATTCAGACAGAAAGTTTTTTGAAATATTTTCAGTTACTTTATAAGAAGGATTTATTAATAACCGTAATAATTACTTATTATACTACTGATGATCAGGATTCAGTTCTTGACAATTACATTCTAAATTAGAATTTTAAGGATTGTCCACAGAACCTGCTGACTTATCCAGCTATTAAGTAGCTGCAGATCATTTCTACATAACCATTGAACTTCCATTAATTAAGTCTCTAAGAGGGTTGTATGTTTATATCATAATTTGACTTTTATAAAAATGATTTTTCTAAATCTTATATTTCTATAAAAATACACTGTGATTTAAAAATATGGATGATAGTATCAGCCGCTCTTTCAGCTACTTCATAAGCAACAGTTTGTTTAGAAATAAATTATGCAGTTAATGTCATAAAATATTTTCATAAAATTCAAATAAACATCAAACGAAAATTCTCAGTTTTGGACAATTCGAATTAAGCGAAGTTAAATTAAAGTAGCAGACGATAAAACGCCGAAGGTAAAAATTTACTCTTACAAAAATTTACTTTTATTTTTTAAAAAAAAAGGAAGAAAGAGAGAAATTTAAAAAATAGTTAAAAATTTGAATAATATCATCTATAATTTAAAAAAAAAATAGCTTTTCATATAGTATTAAAAAATATTTATTACGCATCTTTGAGAGAAACAATATCATATTATTAATTCTTCGTAAAATTTTACTTGAAATTTAAGGTTAAAAATAGCTGTGGCAATTCACTGTAACAAAAATCCATAAACCACATTTGGCATTATTATCGCTCAAAAAAAAGATGCCAAATTTCAAAACGCGAAAATATGTAAATTCGTGTATATCTTAGAAAATTTTGAATAAAAAAGTCTAATATTTTGCAGATATGCTTAAAAATACACCTACTTTAAGATGATGGTAAAAATTTTACAGGTTATAATTCAAAATTTTTTTCGAAAAATTTATAAAAATTATTTAAAAATAGAAATTTAAAAAATAAAACACAAAAAATGGGTAAATTTTATTTGGAATGAACCTAAATTTCGAAATGTGAAAGGAAAAATCAAAAAAGTTTAATAAAAAAAGAGATATTAATAAATATTTGCCAAATTCAATTAACATTGAGGAGCTAAAATTTTGAGAGCTAATATTTTAAAAACTACTCGTACGATTTTTACAAAACTTGGTATTCTGGCATAATTTGAGTCGTAGAATCGAAATATGGAAAAAAATTGGTATGTTATTTCAGAAAAAGTCCGATTTTGTGTCAAAATACCTATGTTAGAATAGTGCTATATATAAATCTAATATATATCCTAAGTCACGCTTTCGAGACATGAAAAAAGCAGTTTGAATTTTGTCAATCGGCCCAGTAGAACGGGAGATATAGCACTGTCCCATTTTTTTTTTTTTTTTTTTTTTTTTTTTTGTGCAATGTACCTTTACTGCATGTATTTTGCACTGTATTTTTACTGTATGTATTTTCTACTTTACTTTTTGTATGTACGCCACTTTTATTGTATCTGCCTGTAAGCTTTGTTTACCTTATGAATTCCTGTAAGCCACTTTTAACTGTTTAGGGGAAAGAAAAACTTTAATCATGCTTCTAATTTTAAGCTAAACGCAAATTACAGTAGACTACTAAACATTAAACAATTATAAAATGTAGTAATAAAATGGCTTTGTTTAATTTTTCAAAATATCCCGCATGACTCCGAAACCTCTCTCATATTTCGTGTTAATTATATATAGATAATTCACTGTATTAACATCAGACAATATTCAAAGCGGAAGAAGTTTCCAATACACAGTGCCATTCTGAAAATTTAGAAGTTAGTATTTTTCTGAAGATAACAACAAAGCAATTTTTGAGTTTCTTCCCCACGGGGGGAAAATACATATTCTTGATTTTTTCCATTTTCTTTTTTAAATTAAAATTTGTGAATTTTAAAATTAAAATGTTTTTTGTTTTAAAATTAATTTTAAAATTAAAATTATGAATGAGAAAATTCACTAAAAACTGAAAAAAAGTTAAAAGTTAAAGATTAAATATGAAAAAAATAGTTTTCTAAAAATTTCAATTTCTTTGCTTAAATATTGACATTAAATAACGGTAGCAGAGCCCTTTCATGGAGTAATAAATTCATGAAATAACAGTAGCAGCGGGCGTTTCATGGATTAATAAAGTAACATAATAATTTTTTCTTGTCTACCTTCCAAAATTTTGGCATTAGCTAGGTGACTGAAAATTAAACCATTTTTTCCTATTTTCTTTTCTTCAGCGCAAAATGAAGCGCCTCTGAATAAAGCAGGGGGGGATACCCGCCCAACTGTTATACTCTTTTAGCCACGCCCGAAAAGAGAAAGTGGATCTGGCAACAGCAAAGTGGCAGATGGAGCGGCAGACGAGCACTTGCCGTGCGGTACTTTGGTTGAAATCAATCAAACTATCTACTGTTCTTTTCCTTTCACTATTTTGGTCGATGCGAAGAAGGTAAATATCTTATTATTCTAACGTGTCTTAATGTTCTTTTCGTGCGGATACATCTAAACATTATATATTTCAGTCCTATGTCTATTTATTATTTCCTAAAACGGTTTTACCTGTGAAAAACTTCTTAAAACTAAATTTTAAAATAGATCATAATTTTAAAGTTAGGATGAATGCTTTTGATCTAAAATATTTTAGAATACTATATGGAATAAAAAGTCGGGACTGAAATAAATACTTATAGATTAATGTATTTTCATTTTATAAGTGTTATCACGAATATTAAGGTATAAAAATTCCCTGAGTTCTTAAATGTGCTGACAAATCTTGGAGTAAGAAAGCTCATTTATGTTTGCTATAAAGAAAGTTTTCGAAGTTAATAATAAGACTTTTACAGTTAATAAATACATTTTATATTTGATGCAAAATAAATTTTAAAATTTCATCAGCTTTTGTAGTTACACGATGTAGGATTTATATCGATACATTTCGTTTTGTTTCATTGACAATAAATTATGATTACTGCAGCAAACCTATGAAAAGAGCTAAATTGTGTGTATTTTAGTATAACATAATTAGGTATTGTAAAATTTTTAAACTGGGAGTCAGTTCGGAAATTATATTTTTTAAATATATATATATAATTTTTTAATATAATATTAAAAAATATATGTATAATTTTTTAATATATATATATATATAAAAAAGAGATATATATATATATATTTTAAATATTAAATTTTTCAAATTTAATTAATTAAAACCTATAAATCGAAATAGGCAAAAATGTTATCAATACACTATTAAAAAGTACATTACTGTTTAAAGTAAACTAAAAACGAAATACAAACATACAGGTGATTACAATTTATGTATTATTAAAAACGTTTTACATTATTAGCCCTAAAGGGGTGTTAGTCCTGAATGGAATATTAGTCTCGAAAGGGCATTTTTCGTCGAATCACTATAAACGGCTGTATAACTTTTCAAATTGTTGCGACCAAATATTATCGCCCTGTATTATATTTAAAGAAATTAAATAATGAAGAATCTGCATGAACGTATGAATGTTTCTCGCACTGTGAAAAAAATCAATGGTACCTAAAGCAATCAAATTTTGAATAACGTAGTCCTCTTCCGGAACATAGGCAGTCGGAAGCTCGAAATTCGAATTTCGAATTTGTTTTATTACCTATCTGATATTTTGTAAAACTTTAACGAATTTTTTATCAACAAACTCAACAATTTCAAAGCGAGCAGTACCAACACTGTACAGACTAAAATATTTTTATCTCCAGCGCGCGAAACTGTCTATCGGAAATTCTAAAGATACGCTGCTTTTAAATATTTGTGATTTTGCTGCTGAATCGAATTTTATGTGGCTTAAGCGTCATGAACATGATATTGAATAAATAAAGTAAGCATACAAAACATTAATAATACAAGACAAAAAACGTTTTCCAAAGCCATGTTAGTAAGAAGCATTGGTATGGTGAACTGAGAAAAGATTGGGTTAAAAAAAAAATATTATGCGAGCACTTAACGCTGCATCGGGAATTCTAAACATATACTACTATACTGCTTTTAAATTTTTGTAAATTTTCTTTAGCGAAATGCAAAGAAAATGTTGCTTAATAATAAAGCTACATTCAGGTAGAGGTTTTGAAGAACAATGGCATAGCGCAGACGCGTAATATTTAGTCCTATAAGCATTCTTATTAATGACGCTAAAGATATAGTTGTTAATAAAACTTTTTACCTTTAAGAAACTTACATTTACACATTGAACGACCACTTTAGAATACTGATTAACCATATTAATTTGGAACTTGAAATGAATATTGTTCTCTTGCCGAAGCTTGAAAACAGTTTCAGTATTTACTCTTGAAAAGGTTAAAAGTAAAATAATACTCAAAATTATTTATTTCAAGAGTTACAATAATTTTGTTGCGTATAGAATAACATCAATATCTAATTAAACAGAAGAATTTTTTCTTTCATTCTCAATCATATCTATTATTCTTTCCTAAATCCGCCTATTAAAAGCGGATTTTTTTTTTGCCTATTAAAAGCGACATGGTTTTAAATGGGCCTCGTTTCTGAATTCTGTCCCAAAATTTTGAAACTGATTCAAAATTTAGAAGGATCAAATTATGCATTAGTTCAGTAAAGGATTTACAGTCTTCTCTTGAGCGCCAAAGTAATGGCGATTTTGGTGATAAGAGAAAACGTGTTTTGGCAAACGAGAGAACTGAAGTTGATCAGAAGCTCAAAATGATGTTGATGGCAATAGCAAGAATTTAAGTAAATTAATTCTACATATATACTCTCCAACGCAACAAATTAATCCTATGAGAAATATTAATTTGTCCAAACTTATTACTGCAAAACTTCTCTAAATTACCATTTTTCAAAGACATTCCAATTGACAAGCTCATTGATGGATGCAATTGTTTTCATAAACAGCTTCTTACGATGGTCAGTCAAGGTACAATAACATTCTGTTCACAAAAACTACGTAAAGCCTTCTTATTCTCAATAACAGTGTGGATGCCGAAAAATATTTTAGTGTCTATAGCATCGTAATTACAGATAAAAGAAAAATATTCAAAAGAGGAAAAAGAATATTAAGACTACAACGATATTAATTTGCAATTACCGCATTTTTTTTCTCTTTTTATTGGGACAATTTATTTGATTACAATAGGTTAAAAAAGTAGGGATTTGCATTTCTTACTGTCTTTCGAATTAATGCCAAATTTTCATTTTCGAATATTTATTGTTGAGAAATTTCGATTTTTTAATGCGTTATAAATTATAATAAATTAGTTATAAAGCAATTATCGAATACAATTATATAAACCGCTATATTCAAAATTCTCTGATGCTTAAGATAGATCATTTATATGATCGGGCTTACAAGTTCGTAATAGAGATTGAATATACGCAGAATAGATGATAGCTTGATAAAATTTATTTTATCAAAAGATTTATCAAAAGATAAAATTTATTTTATCAAAAATTTATTTTATCAAAAGAAACGCTTCACAGTTCTGGAACTTCCCACAAAAAATGCTTGTACAGCTTTTCACAGTATCACAGAGTACAACCGTTTCAAATTACTGAGAACGTTAAACGCAACGCAATGAAAGCACATCTTAAAGCCGAAGCTCTTACGGGTATTTCAAGAATCCGTAGTCGTTCTGAACTAACAACTGAGAGCAGATGCTCTCTCGCCAATCTTCATAGCTTTCACCTGGCCGCCGAGAAATCTCTAATACTTCTTGAAAATACTGGAAGGCATATGAGGGCCGAATATGGTTACAGCTACATATGAAATCAATTGCAGTTATTCAATTATAATACCTATTACGGTAGTGCAAAGACCGGACCATGATGTCGACAAATATTCGCCAAGTTGGTGAATTTTCGCCAAATTTGGCAATAAAAATTAGTCACTAAAACCACCGCTAGCTTGGTGATACCTCACAATTTAGTGAGGTAGACATTTGCTCAATGCTAAATAGACTTTCACCTGTATTCTTATTTTTACGGCAGAGCATCATCTCTAGATTTTCGTGTTACATTGTACAGAAAGAAATACAAAAATTTCACATATAATTTCACTCAAATTATTTATATATGCACAAAATTTGTAACAATATATATTGCGAAAAATGTACTCCAGCATGTGGTAAGAAGTTATTTGTGAAGGCAGAATAAAATAACCAAAACGAAATAAGTAGCTTTGATTTGCTTATCAAACGACTGATTATTAATTTTTATTGACTAAATTTAAAAACATTTACCAAATAATAGTATCTGGGAAAAATTAATATATTCTTTTCAATTTAACCAGTTCAGAATTAGAAAGTGCACCTATAATTCAAGTACTCTCTTTCAGAAAGATGAAAAGGTGTTGAAAGATAGCTATTTCTTCATACATAGTAATAACATTTAATCGTGTGTTACAAGTGTTTTGATAAAATAGGGAACGTTCGCATGTATAACAATACAATGTTTATTAGTGTAACAAAATAAGCCATTTGAAAGCAACAGATATTTATGAATTATATTTGGATATTTTGCAATGGCAACAATATTATTAATAAAATATCTGTTGCTTGAAGTACTTTGATAGTATTTTTATTGGCATTGGCAAACAGAAGTTGATTTCAGGGAAAATTTAAGTAAGATTTGCAAGCTGAAAATCCCCATGTTAGAATATTAATGAAAGTTTACTGGGACGAATAAAAACTATATCGGAAAAGAGTATTAAGTTTTACCAGATTTATAAATTAGTTTATGCTATAGAGCAAGGAAATATTCCGGAATCTACTCAATGTACCTAAGAAATATTATTTGTATTCTAAAAGCCGAAGTCGGTTAATACATTTTAGAAAGGTTACTATGGAAACAAAAGTTACTCAGACAAAAGATGATTACAAAAGAAGATTAATGATAGCGTATTGAATCATCTCATCGAAGGGGAAATTAAGGCTTAATCAACGAGGCCCGTGTAAAAGACAGATTATTACTTAATTTTTTTCTTTCATCTAAACAGCAGCGTCTGGAAAATAAAGAGAAAATATCTGATATCACTTTTAATAGAAATCACTTTTAATAGAAATCACTTTTAATAGAATGAAATCTCTTAATAATAGCTCCCAAAAGTTATAATTATTGAAAATATAAGCTTACAATCAAAAGAAATAAGGAATAATTTTCCTTTGGTAGATCAAATCTGAGGTATTGTAAAAGAACAAAGCAGACATTTCTTTTTCTACTTCTGCACTGATTCGTATTTTATGAGAAAACAGAGAACGTTAAATTACAATTATGGGAAAAGCATCTCATATCTATTTAAACTATTAAAACCTCTGTATATTAGTTAAATCATAATTCGCAATATATCCCTCAGCCAATGTGGCTATGAGAAAAGTCCTCCTATGACCAGGACTTAAAATGAATATGAATTCGTGCTTATTTAAGGCGAAATAGAA